GTCGGGAACCTGGTGTCATGCAACCTCCGGACCCGTACTACCCAGGCCGGCATCACTGGCCGATGACGAATTGGCTCCTGGAGAAGAAGAGGCCATCCGGCACCTTCGGAAAATCGCGTCGGTTAGTAGCCCGGTGAGGCTTTGGACCGCCAACTTCCGGAGTGAATACCTTTACCTGCCCGTTGCCGCCGACCCCTTCGCACTTCAGGTTGATTTGGAGATATGCGCTTCGCCGATGGTGCTCGGGACTTCACGTCCGTGATCGCCGTGCTGCAGACCATGTTGCATGACGCGGGCTACGCTTTCTTGAACCTCGCCCCTACTTGGGGACGTACGCTGAACCCCGAACTACTCGCGGCCAAGGACGGCCAGTTCATGTCCGATGCCAGTTTCCTCTGGGGACTACTGACGGTCGAACAAGTCGCTTGGAACGAGATCGCCCGGGGACGCCACTACAGCGTGCGCCGCGACGATGCGCCGTTTCAGATTTTGGACTCGGAGACGGCATCCGCGTTTTCGGTCGAAGACGATGGCGATACCTTGATGCTGACCCTCGAAGAGCAGGTGTTGTTCGGAACCGCGATGGTGACCAGATTGAGGTTGGCCCATGTGTGTCCCCGGGACTGGTCTGAGTCCGATGCGAGTAGACCGGAGCCGAAGCGACGCCGCGGAAGTACCGACGCACCGCTGTCTGTGCCTTCGTGGCCTGGGACGGACGAAGTCACTCGAGGCTGGGGGGGGACCTATCCCCGAAGTCGTCGGCACGTCCAGCCTGGCTTCCGGGGACGCGCCGATGCTGACCCCAGACGAGAACATGTTTGGGTTCCCAGGGATCTGCTGGCATGGAACCATCCGCAGCCATGGTCGGATCATACATGGCTACTACCGGCTCGGGAACAGGCCAATCCCACGCCGCGGAGCAACCGACTTTCTACGTCCCAGTCGCCGAGTATCCGCCGGGTCAGGACGCAAGGCTCCCACCTCGCGCCCCGACTGCGACGCCGCCGATGATTCGGGGCAGCGATCCGGACGGGCTGAATGAGGAGACCAAGTCGGACGACCCCGTGGTTGATCAGGGCCCCGTCTCTCTGAGACCGGCCGAGATCGGGATCAGGATTTGCGGGGGCAGACTGACAAATCTCCGAACTCCGTGCCGCGTTTGCTGCCCGGGATGAGCAGGAGCGACTCCGACACGAGGACTACCGCGAAGCCCGAGCCACCCAAGCCGCGCAAACGAAGGTCTCCCGAGAGGAATGGGAGCATCGCGAGGCGGAATATCAAGCCTGAGCCACGCGAGAAGGGGAAAGGAAAAATGCCACGAATCAAGAATTCACGAGCCTCCAAGCCACGTTGTACTTGCTCGAGAAAGAAAAGGCACGGGAATGGGAAGAGGATTCCCAGTTCCGAGCCGAAGCCTATCGCCGAATGGAGGACGTGTCTGAGCAGTGCAACCAAGCGACTTCCCTGGCAATGGCTGTCATAGAAGATACCAAGATCCGGGCCGATGAAGATGTGCTCCGGATCAAACGCGAGTGGAACATCAGGCTCGGGAAGGCCGGGCCCGGGTGGCTCGGGCCACCGAGCTCTGGAAGGCCGAGTTAGAAGAGCTCCGGATATTCCGCGAACAAGCCGCTGCAGGACGTGCGCGACGTCAGCCTCGAGAGCGCGCTGCGTCCCCCCCCACTCCAACGGGAGCGGACGGGATCGGAGTGACAGACGGTCTCGGCACCACGTCAGAAGCTCGCGGGGAAGCCATCCGACCAGTGCCGTGGCGGGTAGAAGCGATGCACCCGTGGGAAGAACGTCAGGGACGGCCTCACACGAGGACACGATACGAGCCCCGTCGGCTCCTGCCTCATCCGTCCCCAACTCTGCTCGAGGTCCGACGTCAGATCCCGTGACCGCAGCTCCCAACTCCACCGCCACCCTCTCGGGGAGGGGCCCGAGACATGACCGAACGATGGTCCCAGATCCTCAGAGGTCAACGCTGAACCCGCGGCCGGAGGATTCAACTTCGACCCAAGTTCGCCGTCCGACCAGCACTGGAGACCACCGTCGAGTAGACCCTTGGGGTCCTATTTCACAGGTTCGCACACCGGTTCCGAGGCCTATGTGAGTTCGGGACCGGAGTCCCAACCCCATGGCCCAGGACCAGCTCCAGGACCTTTCCCAGCGCTTCCGTTGCCGGCTGCGGGAGACCCCTCAGGAGCGTCAACCGCAGGCGGTTAAAAACTGTCAAACACCGCGCCGACCTGTGATAGCAGCTTCCATCGTCCCGACCCAGAGACTCATACCCTTGGGGATCTGGAGGCCCTGGAGCCTTCGGAGCGCCAGCGGTAGGAGGCTATGTCCCTGGGTATAGTGTGAGCGTCCGACCCTTCATCGCCTACGACGCTGTCGGGCCGTTCGGCACATCTCTTTCTCTGGACAAGTGCCGCGCATAGTGGGACAAGTTCCGGTACACGACCAGCAGTGGGGGTTGGCGAGAGCAAGAGTTGTGTACTCGTCTCTATAGCCGGCTCTTGCAAGACCCGAGTATGAATGCCTGGGTGCAGCAGCATCCGGAGTCGGTCCGTCGAAGTTGGCGACAGCTCTCGGGTCGGTTTTCAAGGAATTTTGCAGGTCTACGGAGTTCCCGGTCGAGGGCTACCTGCGTCTGAAGCAGGAGTCTCGGGAAACACCCCGAGGCTTCTTGTGATGGCTCAACGCGGCTGCGACCAAGGACAACGTGAACTACCACTCCATCTCCGGGTGCCACCGGCATGTGTAACCGCTTCTTCAAGCACCTCCGCGACCGGGAGCTCCAGCTGAGTCTCCAGGAGGGCGTCTATTTCACAACGGACGAGCTCGAGAATGTCCTCAAGCAGGTCGAGGAGATGGAATCAGGCATGCGCCGGAAGCCTGCCAACGACATGCAGTTCGGACGTCACAAACCCCAGGGTACAGGCCTCGGTGCCCCAGCTCGTGGGGGTTCGGGGCGTATGCAGCCATGGCAGCTCCCGAAATCACTGAGCCCCAGGTTCCGGACCCCGGAGACCTGAGGTGGGAAGATGAAGTACGGGTACCAGTACGACGAGCAAAACGACGAAGGTTACGATGATCTGGTCGACCAAGAGGAGGTGTTCCGCGCCAAGGTCCCGGGGACTTGGAACGATCGCAACGGACGTCCCCAAGGCCGCCCCGACTCCAGGGGTTCGGGACCCTCTGGAGTTCTCAGACCCCGGCTCCGAGAGCTAATGAAGTGTGACCGTTGTGGGGGTAAACACCAAACCAGTCAGGGCCGACGCCGGGAGAGTACGAAGCGTGCTGCCAGTTGCATCCGGCGGGAGAATGCGCAGTCATCAAGCTTTTCACGGACGCAGCCCAGAAAGGACAGCTCCAGGGTCTTCCGGGAGAAGTGTTGCAGAGGTTGTACCCGGAGGCCACTCCGGCGTTAAACAATTAGGCTCGCTGGATAGGGACCCAGTACGCGACGAGGCTAAGTCCCGTCGGACCTGCTGCGCCTATGCGTATGGAGGTCTTAACGAACCGCAATGTATATCAATTTGATCAACACCCACTTCCGAACCCGGTTCAGCCTACACCAGCCATGTTGCCCCGGACGAAGATGAACTCTCATTTGAACTCCAACCCGAGGAGCGCCGAGGCTGGTGGGAAGCGTACTCTTGGGAAGACAGCTTTTGCTCAGTGGCTTTCGTCCATGGTTCCGTATTCCATCATCATACCTTGCTCATGCTCGACTCCGGGGCCTCCACCAGTATTATCAGCCTAGAACTTGCGCGTAGGTTAAAGCTGAGGGTGGATCCCCGAGGCGAGCTAGTATTAATGGAATGAATACCAAAGTCACGAACAAGTGCCGAGTCAAGATCACACTCGGGCACCGAGTGGTTTACACCTTAGACGTTTGGGTCGGGAACATCGGCCAATGCATCGACGTTTTCCTGGGGATGAACTTCATGGGCGCCGTTGGAGTCCGGTTGTGCGCTCACGAAGGAGAAGTGGTGCTCCCAGATGAAGAACGGATCCTCCTCGTCGGAGGTCCCAAGCGCTCGCACTTGGGGCAGACCATTGACGTGTCCATACACGAGAGTCTTTGGTTAACACCTGAGGACAGCAAGTACATACTGATCCGGACCTCAGACCCAGCCCTCGGTTCTATGGACAGGTGGGTCAGTCGGGGGGGGACCGCTGGGTGACTCTAGTGGTTTTTAACACGAAGGGAGTCCCGGTCGCCGCCCGAATGGTGAACATCACTCGGAGACCGGTCCAAGTACTCCCGCATACCAAGGTCGCCACTCTCACAGATCGGGATCGGTTGATTTTGGGGACCAACTTCGTGCGCCCGGGCTCCTACCAGTACAACGAACGCAAATTCTTCGTCTACGAGAACCCGCGGTCACCCGCGGCGGAACACCACCGGGGCACTGAAGTTCAGGAACTCGAACGGGCTGCACCTCCCATGGTGGACCGGCCGACATATCCAACTCCGACCCGTGCCATCAGGCGGACCCCGGGGACCCCTGCTACTGTTCCAGAAGTCCCCGAGGCCCACGAGTCTCGCGGACTCCGGAATCCTCTGGGGGCGAACGACCAGCGAAGTCGGTCATGGACCCCAATCCCCATGCCTCGTGAAGAGGATCCTAGGACCACAAAAGCCAAAACCTCTTCGGGGGACGAATCCACTTCGGGACTTGGGACCTCTCGGGAATCTGCCCGGGAGTCACCCCAAGTCCACGCCCATAGACGCCCAAATCGCACTGGCCCGGTCGTTCGTGATGGTGGTGATGGCTGGGGAAAGTTTTGACGCAGAATTCACCGTCAACTATCACCAAGGTTCCGACTTCGTGCTCTTGGACATGCTCAAGAATCAACTGGAGTACCTCCCCAACCTCAGCGATCTCCGACCCGAGGCCAACATCGAAGTCGCGATCGTCGGTGGGCCCGGAGAATCGGACCCCTAAGAGGAGGAGAGGCTCCGAGCGATCCTCCGGAAACACTGAATGGTTTTTCTAGGAGAAGGGAGTGCGCTTCCTCTCCCGGACTGGGGCATCGTGTGCGTCCTGGAGGTTGGGGACGCAAAACCCATTTACATGAGGTGCCGGAGCATCCCTGCCGACTTATTGTCCAATTTGTACGAGTTGCTCAAGCTTCTCCTCGAGACAGGCCTGATCGGGTATTCCAACTCGGAATGGACATCTGTCATTGATCTCGTCGAAATTGAGCACCTAAGCGACCAAGACAGATCTGACTTGTCGACATTACTCAGCGAAGACCAGGACATCCAGCGCGAGCTGTTGATACCCCGGGATGCGTCGGTCAACCTGACCCTGAGCGAATTTCTCAAAATGGTTACTGGTATCCTCGTGATGAAAAAGAATGGCACTGACGTCCGTTTGTGCATCGACTTCCGGTTGGTGATCCAGCTGATCAAGCTGATAACATACCCCTACCCCTAATCGACGAGCTGATGAGCAACTTCGCAGCCACTATGTGGTTCATGACTTTGGACATGGCAAGTGGGTTCTGGGCGGTTCCGATGTCGGCCCGAGCTCAACTGATTTCGGCCTTCACTTGCCGCTCGGACACTTTCAGTGGAAGCGTATGCCGTTCCGGTTGAAGAACGCCGCATTGATCTACCAACCGCTTCTGGACAACTGGCTTTGGGGTTTTGTCCGACTATCCCCGGAAGAGGAACGGCTTGTTGACCCGGAGGTGTTAGAGTTCTTGGGAATCTCTCCCGAGGACTCGGGCGCCCCGGTATCCCAGGGTACGGACTCCCAGGGGGAGGAGGTCTTCAGGACTAGCACTGATGCTGTGTTCCATCAGAACCGGGGTTCCCCGGAGCAGATGTGACCTGTGCTTTCCCGGAGTTCGTACATCGATGACATCATCTACGGAGATCCGTCCTGGGATGACCTGTGCAAGACGGTGAATACCCTCCTATACTAACTGCGGTACTGGGACATTTCGGTGAGCCTTCCGAAGAACGAGTTGGGGTCAAGAAATGCAAGTACCTCGGGCACGACATCAGCTCGGACGGAAACCGGATGTCCCCGAAGCTAGTGAAAAAGGTCATCAACTTGTCGTTCCCGAAAATCCAGAAAGGAGTACAATCCTTCCTCGGAAGCCTCGATTACTACACCAAGTGTATCGAGGATCTACCCATACTCGCGGCCACTCTCTACAAAGCATCGGACGAGCAACTCCGCTCTGGAGATATAGAGAAGCCCAAACATGTGTTCAAGATACTTAAGGACCGGCTAGTGTCGACGCCATTGCTCCAGCACCTCGACCCCGGGAGACAGCATGTAACAATATTGCATGCCAATGTGGTAAAGTGCGATCGAAATCTCACGTGAAGAGCAACCTCGGCT